AGTGAATTTCTGTGCAGTTTGGATTTCTGAAGATACTTCTAGCAGTGGTGTCTGTTTTGCTTCCCTTAAGCATGGAAGGGAAATTACTACAATTCCTCAACTTCAGGATGGGCTCATTGTCCTGTTGCTCTTTGCTATACTTACAAGTACTTTGTACACCCCTCTTCTTGTGATGAGAAGGAAGCAACTTTCTATCTTCTAGGCTCAGAGCAAGAATGTTTTATGGTCAAAGTGAGTTCTTACAACAGTGACCTCAGAGAAGAGATCACTCTTTACAACTTCCTGAAAGGTGGTTGTGGTCAGGTGGGGGTCGGTCTCTTTCACCGGGCAGCAACTGACAGAACCAGAGGACACAGGCTGTGCCAAGGGAAATATAGGTTGGATATTAGGGAAAAGTTTTTTACAGAAAGGGTGATAAAGTTCTGGAATTGTCTGCCTGCAGAGGTGGTGGAGTCACCATCCCTGGATGTGTTGAAAAAAAGGCTGAATGTGGCACTCGGTGCCATGGTTTACTTGAGATGTTAGGGCATGCCATGGTTTAGGGCACGGGTTGGACTTGATGATATTTAAGGTTTCTTCCAACCTAGTGATTCTGTGAATTCTGTGAAGAATGAAAAAAGGATTGAAGGTGAGGAAGATATTTAGTGTTGGCAGTTGTTCTGAAGTCACCTCATGTTAAGCCCAAATGAAACTGATTCATTGACTGCTAAAGAGTAGAGGAAGGAAAATGAAACACAGCGAGAAATGAGTCAGTCTGCCTCTTCAAGAAGAGCTGGCCAGAGGACAGGATCTAACAAACAGCCTGCACAAAGCATCCTGGTTGTGTTGCTAAAACACTTTACAGTCTAGTAAGGCCTGGGATGATGGTGATCTAGCGAGTGACTGCATTTTTAAAGACAATATAAAAAAATACTTCATAAAATTGCTTGGTTCAAAGAGTTGATGTCAAGGGCAAGCCAAAGAGCATAGCATTATCTCTGACGAGACTCCTTGAGCCTAAATTTCAGACAGTTCTACAGTTCTGGTTCCTCAAAGAGGAAGTTTCCAGCTGCTTGTCACCTTTTTGTAAGCACTTGGCTTATTTGTAATGAGGGAGCCCGATGGCATAACTGATGCTATGAATTCTATTTCTGTGACTAGAATATCAAGTTCTAACAGGTTTCTTAAAGGTTTCTAAAAGAAAGCTTCAGGATATCAACAGACAATTGCTCTACAGTGGTCAAGGAGAATTAAGCCCAAAAGCCTTAATTACTTACAATTTATTTATGATAAAGTGCTAGGCTCCTGGATGATTTATTTTTACAGTTTAGACGGTGATGGGGCTGTTGGACTTATGAATTCTATCCAGGGCTATAACAGCAAAAAGAGATACGGAAGCATGAATAAAAGCAACTTCCATCGATGAAGATGTGACACTGGACAAAATATTTTGAAGGTAAGTGTATTAGTAGAGTTAACTGGAAGTTTGGTGCTTCTTAAGTTGTGTGCCCATACTAGAATGTCTCTCATACAGTTAGGCAGGGCAGATATACTGTGATTCACACTCATTCTGGATTTAGACTGAAAGATAGGTGAAATGCACCAGTCCACTCCTCTAACCAGGCAGGGCAGATTCATCTTATGATGCTAGGATAGAAAAAACAGTTGTAGCAAATGGGTTCCCAAGGAAAAGAAGGTAAGAGAAGATAGAGAAGGTTGCTGTGATGCTCCTGAGAAACACACAAAATATTTTCAGAAAATATTCTGCTATACAAAACACACACACAAAAGAGAGATTTGAACATAATTTTAAAGAGCTGAAGGCTGTGCTCAACTAACTGCAAGACAAATGACACCAGATGTTTACGAAGACGTGAAGACATTGGTGGTGCCCTTCTGCTTTGTAGCAAGTGCAAGGTGTTCTGCAAAAAAAGGAATGTATGAGTGCCTTAGAGATGATGGCACAGCTCTGCTTTTGGAGCTGTGCACTTCTGCCGGATCCATGTCCTTTCTCAACTACTGAATGCTCATGGCTCAAGGTGCAGTTCACAGCAGCCACCACAGAACTGAGGCAGGACCTCTCCAGGAGCCCCCCTGGAGTACAACTAAGGCTGCACTGCCTCCATTCCATGATGGCAATGGCCAAGGGGAAGTGAGGAAGAGGGAAATGAGCTGTATGAATGTTCACTGACCAGACAACAGCCATTCAGTGCCATCTCTGGAAATGGATCACTCTTGACTGTGAATCCAAGTGCTTTTCTTTGATTCAGGGAAATAGGGTTTCAGCTGGAAGCCCTCAGGATCTGTCCAAAGATTACGAAGAAGTTGGATGGAAATTCCTAGGCATCTTTGGACAGTTCTAAAGGGAAGTTTCTTGTAGGTCATCAGAGAAGACCAGTTTCTCATCTGCCTCAGAAGATCTAGATAAGAATGCATCTAACAGGAAGGAAAATTGAGTATTTACCTAATTTTCTCTATTTAAGATTTAGCCACAAGTCACAGGACTACACCATGACTCGGACACAGCCAGTCTGAGGTGCCCAGTCCTAATGTTGCAAGATGACTGCTCTAGGCAGCCTTGTCTGACAGCAACACTCTTCTAAAGCAATCTTTTCAGGCTTATTCTGAGCCTTGGCTGACTTCAAGGGTTATACAGATCATAGTCATTTTGCTAGCATGCAGCAAATGACAGGGGACTAGCAATTATCATCTCAGGACTTGCAATTGAAGGCACCTTTCATCGGATTACTAAAATTACATAAAGTCATCTACTTTTCTTACTCTCCCAAGACTGTCTGCAGGAGGGTCAAAAGTCAGTCTATTTAGAAAAACTGGGAAAAAAGTTTCCTGAGGAACCGTCCAATATTTCCTAAAACAGCTGTTTATAAAATATCTGAAGACATATGGAATTTCATGGAAATGCCACTACACTTTGGAAATGAATAAGAGTGCATTAAAAAGAATAAATCTGAGTATCAGCAATCAGCAGAAACATACAAGTAGAAAAGTTCCTAAATATTAAGCCACCCACTCAGATCTCACTCACTAATTAAATTTATTTTCTTCTCTAGTTAATGTTTTTCTAAGGAATCAGTGATTTAAACACAGCATGTCCAGAAACTCACAGCTGTCAGCTGATACCTGCTAATACAGGAAGTACTGAAGAATTCAACAATGTATTTTGCAAATTGGATTTTAAACTATATCTCCCTAAGCCTATTTCTAGGGTCTATGTTCAGCTTGGAACTTGCAGACCTGGTGTAATTAAGAAGGCTGTTACTAATATTTTTAATGCAAAACTTTTTAATAGTATTTGCCTGGACTCTTGGAAGCAGTGTAAGCTTATTTTCAGGTTGGATATTTATTTTTTTCAGAGGGTGAGGCATCAACACAGTGCACTATGTTGCTCAGTACCTCTAGAGTACTGCACATACTATTTGTGGCTGGGCAAACTCACCATTGAGACCCAGAGGGTAGCATTTTTCAGTGGCCTGGAGCTCTTTTGGCCCACAAATTTTCCTGACTTCTTGTGAGCCGATGTGTCTCATTGAAATTATAGCTATAAGTGTTAACAGCACATTTATAAAGCAAGATCAGCTGTCTCATTGCTTTTGTTGGGTTAAATAATTTCAAATTGTGTATCCTTAAAAAATAAAACAATATGGGTCACTTGCTAGGTCTGCAAACTAATTGGAAATTAACAATCACAGATAATCTAAAAATAAAGGAACATATGCCCAGATTTTCACATCAAGGAAGATATTTTACCTCAATCTTGTCATCTAATACCATTACAAAGTCATAACACTATGCCATTTCCTACGCAGTGGTTGTATGCTGGTCTCTGGGTAAATGGACTATTTGTCATGTATGACAAGATACAAATGATATGGAAACTTTATAAATATTTCCACCTACTCCAACTATTAGCACAGCAATCAACTAAATACTCAAAGTGAGGCTTTGGTCTCCTCAAGGTGGTCACTCCAGGTAGGTATGGATGCTCACAGGCAGGCTAAGCTTTTCAAAGGCTAGCAGGACAGTCTGCAAAGGACTTAAGTGGTTTTAAGAAAAGAAATAGCAACCCTGAGGGAAGAGAGCAGAATTTTGTCCTGTCTCTTCTGTGGTGATGAATCCCTGTCTTGTACATGGGTCCATTGGGTACATCTCAGTCTGTGCTACACTGTGCTCTTTGTCTCATGCAAAGTCTGGCAGAGGCCCAGCCACTCGACCCTTTCTATTCCCAAAAGGCCCTTCTCACTAACAGCCAGAAATGTAAAGTGGATGAGACAAGCACAAAGGTGTGCAATGGGAGCAGAAGGTAAAGAATTATCTTCACTATTCAGTGCACTTCCTACTCTGTTCCTCTCTCAGGCTCCAAAAACACAGAGAAACAAGCCATGCCTCAGAAAGAAGAATGTACAGAAGCTCACTAGTCACTAGGGAAAGATCTTTCAGTGGTTACTAAAATAGCTGCACAAAGGAAATAAATGAATTTCCAGTCACAACATTTACATTTCAATCAAAAGAACAGGAAATTTTAATTAGGCAAATACACTTGCTCATTTAACACCACAAATGTAATAGAACATTGGTTTATATCGTCATCATCATCGTCATCATCCACTTTTAAGACAATAGGCAGGTCTGCAACAGGAGATTTTTCAGGAATTCTAGAGCAACACATACACACAAACACACAAATCACATGTAAAAAGTAGCTTGCATAAGCTAAGTAAGGTTAATGGCAAAAGCTTCTTTCTATGCAGAGAAAATTGAGCATTAAAGCTGCAGCATTAGGAAAAAAAAAGTTTAAAAACAAGGAATGAAGTTGTAAAACAGATGAGAACTTAACAAAATTGGTGACCTTTCCACACAGATGAAGTCAGGTTAAAAAAAAAACCAGGCCAAACCAAAACCAAAGGAGACCAAAACCAAATGAGACCAAAAGAGAACCTCCCCCCCACATACATACAGACAAAAGTGAGAGCACAACAAAGGAAGTGGAAGAAAAGTGTTACCCATAAGTAGCCGCCGTTTCACCCGCTTGTCCACATCAGCTACTGACGTGGCATTGTACTCAGAACTCTCAATTGCAGCCTCATCCTTCTCTAAAACACAAGTAAGGGACAAACATGGAGCAGTTGGTTAATCACAAGCCCAATTTTCCGCTGCCTAAGACAGTTTCTTGGCATGGCACAGCCAAGGCCAAGAAGCAAGGCATGAAAGCACTAAATCCCCGTTAGAGAGTTAATTCCCTTTGAGAACCCAGGAAAAAATTAAAAGGGTGTTTAGGGAAAGGAGGAAGAAAGAGGATGGGAAGGAAGAATGATCAGCTCAGAAGTAATTAATCACACAGAGGAAGCTGGATTTCTACTGGAGAACAAGACAGCTAACATGGGTGCCCCAGAGAGGTGTTAATGATGAAAATTAAAATTCAGGAAGGCTAGTCAAACAAACTACCAAAGACAACCTAGGCTAATGGGGGCACCAGGATGTGAAGGTGGCAGGCAGAAGACTAGGACAGACAGAGAGAGCGAGAAGAGTCCGGTGATGGATGGGCACAGATGCACCACAGCCTTGTACACATCGACACACTGAGAAACGAAACAACAGCATGCAAATTAAACAACAACAACAATAAACAAACAACAAACCAAACAAACACAAAAAAAGATCAATTTGGGCAGTGCTGGTTGCCTGCTTGTCTATGAAACACTACTAGCTAAACATTCAACGCTAGGAAAGATGTTGCAAGAAAAGGGTTTAGTAATTTTATTAGCATGCAGTGAGCAGGATGATGTCATCAGAGGTCACTTTACAAGGTAGTCTCTGACATCCTACATGTAAGAGTTTCATACAGCATAATGAGGACTTTGGTTATGCTTCATTAGAAATACACAGAAACAGTCACAAGTATGGGAAGAGATGATCAGTTTGTGAAATAAAATTAAAGATTTCTGATACAGGAGAGCAATGGAGGAGCAGCAGCTGGGTAAATAAAATGATTTGTAGGAAAAGGGAAATGCTCAGTAGGAAAACAAAAAATGAAAATGCAAGCTGGGACTTTCACATGCAGCAAACATAAAAAAAAGTTAAGCAAACGAAGACAAAATATGTTAGACAAAGGGTCAACAAGTATTTATCTGGCATTGCAGAAGTTTGCATTCTTGCAGTGATGGCTGGAATATATACACCACTGAAGACAGCAAACACTGGAATCACTGAAGTGAGGAGGAGGAGGAGGCTGGCAGGTTTTGTTTGTGGCAACTCTACATGGTTGAGTGGTAACAAGAAGTTGTTTTGTTTTGTTTTTAACAAGTTCTAGATGGGATCAGGCTGCAATAGAGGCTTTTGTTTGAGTTTGTTTGTTTTTTTTTTCTCTGTAAATAATTAATAAACGTCAGTTATCAGACAAGACAGGCAATCAGGAACCATCACCAGAAAGCAGGAATAAATAAATGTAAAAAAAAAAAAAATTAGAAGTATTCTAAGAGAAAGAACTATTTTAGAGGGAAGAAAATCAGCACAGGCAGTAATATGTGACTTACATCACAAGACCAAGGAATGTAACATGGAGTTGTACGTATTACATTACAAAAATGGGAAAAAAAGTAAAAAAAAATAGATGCAATGTAAACATCTTTTAAAAAATTTTTTTACATGCTGGACAAAATAAAATATCCAAGTATATTAGTGAACAATAATAAATAGAAGATCAATTATACATTCAATAAAACCTGCTCTCAAGGCTCTCACTCTTGCAAGTTCTCCCCATCTGGAACTGCCACAGGACAGGGATTGCAGGATGGAGCTCTCTGTTATCAGAGGCACTCACTGAGAGATCCCCTGCACTCAGACACACCTTGTGCAGACAAAAAGGCAGAGCCCAGCTCTGAGCCTTGCTAGGCTTCACCTCTGCCAGCAGAAATCTCACACTGCCCCACAATTTGTGCAGTTAAACCCCTCAGAAGTGAGCAAGGCTCTGGGCAGCTACAGAGCTTTATGCCATGGATCTGACCAAGACACTGGCTAAAGGTAACCGACAGATTTCCATGGGTTTCAAATGCTCTGTCTTGCAGTACTGGAGAGAAAATACGATAAATATGTGTCTGTGTTCTTTTAACCTCAAGAAATGACTAAGAATTTGTAAGAACTTGAAATTAAACAAACAAAAAAAAGTCATCATGTCCGCAATGCCAATGAAAACCATTATGGATTTCAGCTTCTGATCTGTGAGTAAGAATTTTCAAATGTTAACTTGCATCATGCAAAAATGCACTTTTTAATTTATTTTAAAGTGGAGTAGAAAGAAATGGAGTTAAGCAAATCATACATTTTATAATCATAAATGTTTGCAAAGCATCTGCCAAGATGCTCCATATCTTGACCGGCTCTTTCCTGCTGACATTCTGAATGAAAGCTTAGTCACTACAAGTGTTGCAGTTTTTAGAATCGTGAAACATACACCAGGGAAGACAGCACATAATGACTCCTTTTCCCTGGTAACAGCTCAGAAAGGAAGGTAATTTTTCTAACCTTGCTCAAGCAAGGAAATCTTGACTGATGAAAGTGAACTGAAGAGCTAAACTTTCATTTAAAATGATGAATGTTCTACACCTTTTTACTTCAAAAATAGTTATGAACAGAAACAAAAGTCACAAGCAGGTAACAAAGGGATAGATACTTCATTAACAAACATTTTGACAGAACACACACAAATGCCTCTCTGTGTGCCTGGCTGAGCCAGGAGCTGCTGGAACACCCTTCTGTCAGCTGCTGGAGCACCCCTCTGTCACACAGGCATCACACACACACACACACACACACACACGGCACAGAGCTTCTGAGCAACCCCAAATCAAACGAGCTGCAGAGAGGTACTCACCAATGCAGGTTCGGCCATCTGAGTGCAGGGCATACTTCTGATGACAGCCACACACAGGGCCAGTATCTGTGTCATCACAGGTGTGCTGGCAGCCTCCATTCCCATAGTTACAGGTTACTAGTTAAGCCCCAAATGAATGTGTATATATGTATATATAAATAAAATGACAATGAAACCAATTAGTCTTGAGAGCCTTTCAGAACATAGAAGAACAGTAACATTCCAAGACATAAGGCAACATAACATTTGTGCTTGCAATTATTTATATTTTTTCCTTCTGCCCCCTCCCTTCTACCTGTCTCACGCCCTAGCCTCAATCCATACAGTGAAGAAGCGAAAGAAAAATAAAAGCATTTTCCCCACTCTATTTGTATCAATAATTTTAGTGTGACTCTCGGCTAATTCTATGTCTTCCTAAAAGCTACATGCTTCATGTCCATGATGAAATTAAGTCTGCCAATACAAATGTATACTTTCAGGTCTATAGACAGAATCTCTCTTTTGTTGCCCCATCATTCTCTCAGTAGAGGAAGCAGAGACCAAGCAGCAAGAACAGAACCACAAAAGTCTTGGAATATACTATATGAAGTGCTGGCCCCCCTAAAGCAACAAGTTTAAAAATAAACCAGGAAATGTTTGGGTTTATTTTTACTTCTCTGCAATAAAAAATACACAGTTGTTATGGCTCTGACATGTGCTGGCCTCAGCCAGGAAGGAAGCACTGGAGATGCCACTTTCACTTCCAGGAAAGAAGAACAGCTTTTACCAATTCAAATGTCCTCTGGTGAAAAAGTACTAAAGATATATTAAAAGTAAATATTTTTCATGAGAATAGGTAGAATTTTGAAGGTTACACGAATTAATAGATCAGATTAAATTGATTTCCTTTGTCACATGATGGATTTGATTTCTGCCAGCTAAGACAAACTATATTTAAAATATTAAGCTGGCTAGCACCATTTAATAAAGCCTCTCACTTGCCCCTGTGTCATTTCATCCTTTGCAGCTGCACACTTTGATGCTGAATAACAGTTCTGATTTGATTCCTGAATTCAATTTACTGTCTTTATTTGGACTAGATTCTTTACTGGTAAATATATACTGGCAAATATGGGGTAAATCCAATATGCCATTATTTAGTTATATACTCATCATTTCAGAGGACTTAAATGTTTTGAAATGTTATGGTAATTTAAGTGAAGATTACATTTATTTAAATACTGACTCCCAGTAATCAGAAGGAACTTCCTCACATTGGTCTTAGCAGAATTTTCCTTCTAGATAAAAATCTATAAAAGAGGCAGGGTAGCAAATTGCAATATACAACAAAACCAAGATAATGTATTAACAGTACAGTATTTGAAAATCATATATCTAACTAAAATCTGAGGTTGTATCTAATGCAAGAGGGCTACATTCATATATTTTCCCACTGAACTCAGTGACCCTGCTTTAATTCTAGCTCCTGAAAATGGAGTAGACCGGAATTTTCCATCACAGTTACTAGAAATGAAATATCCCACCTCTGGTGTGAGTGCCTCAGTGCTGAGCAGCCATGTCACTCTCAGTAATCACAGAAGTATTTATCTTAAAATGGAACAGTTCTAAAAAAAGCAAATGAGGTAGACCCACCACAGCATATCCAACAGAATTCCCATTAAAACCTCCTGCCAGAATGGAACCACAAGTTTACAATTTCAGCTCCTGAATTCTGGCAAAGATCTCAGCAGGAATTGTCCACCTCTCAAGTGAGTACAGACCTGAGGCCACTACAGGTGCAAGCATCCTTGGTCCTTCGACTCTATACTTGGAATAAAAACCCTTGTGCTGTTCAGAGATGGAGATGGAATAGCCTTGGTGCCTGGTGGCAAGAACAATCTCTGAAAAGAGAGACTGCCTGGATTCCCACCTCACTTTCCAGGAATATCACTGTTCTATCCAACTGGAAAGAATGGCAGTGAGAAACATGGGGAAACCTGCCTGATCCATGTTCCCTTTTTGCAGCTTGACAGTTTGTGCACTAAACTGGTAAATGGAAATGGTGGGTTCAGTCCAACCAGACAGGGGAGGGAATATACCCCAAATCATGAGAATCCTAAACTTGCAAGGAATTACATTACAAAACCCCCTAAGCAACAGCCACCCTCGGGCATTCTTTCTCCTTCTCCACTTTTATACCTTACCTAATAATTTATTTTTGTGAAAAAATAGCAGAAGCAAATCAGTCTGCTTTGCATCCAAAGGAAGCAACATTTATTTCCCTTCAATACACTGTAACATTTTTATTTTTTATGCAAAACAAACAAAACTCAATGTCAATTCTCTATTCTTAAAGTTCCCACCTTTCCAATGAAGACATGCTTATTACTTGACCTCATATGCCTCTTGGACTATGTGGAGTTTCTGTCCTTGTTGGACTGCAGTGCCATCACAAATTAACTTAAAGGTGTTGTTTATGCCAGATGTTTAAATACATTTCTAGCCAACAGTATTTTTATTGAGGATTTTAAAGTGCAATCAGCAACAAAGTGTGTATTTAAAAAATGCGACTGCAGTGGTTATTTTTGGCATTCCTTGCTGAAAGCCTCTGCTGGCAGAGATGAAAATATCTGAACAGGCTTGCTCTGACCCACGTAATATGAGGAACTTTTCCTTACTATATTTGTCTATGAAAAAATTGCACCAGACTGATGGTATTTATAGCAAATCCTGCAGAATCACACACTTTTACAGCTTCCCTGCCTATAAAAGTTGCTGGTTCCCATTCTACCCAGTCCATGAATGCACATGTAGGTCAGTTCCTTTTCCTGTCTCCTAGAAACATTAGTAAATCCTGTTTTTGAAGGATTTGAATTTCTGTCTAGACTACAATTTATTTATTTATTTTAAGTAACTTGAGTCAACATTTTGAAGTTTGACAAGCTCTACAGGTGAAATTGCTACAAAATCTAGTTTAAAAATATGTCACTTCAATTTTCTTCCAGTCCTCATTCTGTAGCAGTGACACAGTGGGAAGTTTCTCTTGCTTACAGAAAGAAAATCATAATTATTTAAAAGCAAATGGACATCCAGATCTACTCCATTTTTGTGAGAAAGAATTAAAGCAGTATTAATGAGAATTCACAAAGTGTTATTTTAAAAACTATTTCTGATAAATTTGGACTCTGCAGCTATGCAAACAGCTGTGTGCTCATTCAGAGTCTGTGATATTGAAGAGGCAAACAGAGGCAAAATGGTAAATTCCAACAGACAAAGATCACCTTAAAATATCATAAATCATGTTAAAATGAAAGGGATGGAAAATAGTGAGGGTTTTTTGGCTTTTTTTTTTGTTGTTGTTTCTTTTGTTGTTTTTGGCTTTTTTTTTAACCAAAGGAGAATATTCACATATCTTTTAGAACTCAGACATACTTATCCCCATATGGCAGATTTAAAACCAGAGTAACACCATCTTTTGACAGTGCTTCAGCATTTGTACGTGTCCTAAGTGCAGTCAGAATTCTGGGCTCTTTCCCTTAGTGGGAGGAATGCCCTTGTACAACAGCAGAGAAGCCCTACAAATGACACAAATGACACACACCCTCTGTGGGACAGGTCCAGTGCTGGCAGCCAAACCACCAGTCTGTTCTCCCAACACTCTTCCACGTGGATAAAGAGCTTTGGGGCTGACACTGGGGCTTCAAAGTGCCTGCAAACCAGATTACTTATTTTCACTGACTACAATGCTCAGGGTCCTGGGCTGGCCAGACACCCTTCAGGCCCTGGCAGGCAGCAGAATGGCTCTACCTGTCCACCTGCCCACACTGGAACCAGCAGCATTATTCAGTTTGACTGGGCTAAGCCAAACAGTCCTGAGACACAGCTTGGCATGTGGGCCAGTGCTTACAGACAGAGAAATATATGGACTAATGTAGAAATGACATTTTGATAATGAAAAATGAGAAATAACTGTCTGAAAGAGAAATGGCATCTCAAAGAACAAGAAGGATTTTGATGTACATATGCTACTAAGTATTGACAGTGATATTCCATGCTAAACTCCCCAGAAGACAGAAGGTACCAGAATTCAGCTTCACTCTACAGCCTAAATCCTGCTTTCGGTGCTTCTCTGAAATTTCATAGAATCCATCTTACATGACCATGACAAGAAGTACTTGAAAACATACGGCAAATTATTTAATCTAGCATTTATTACTTGGTAACTTAACAAATAGCCCAAGACAACAGTGCTCTGATCCTGTCCAAATATGGACTGAAATATATACCATGGCTCAGATGCCACAGACAGATGTTTTTGTAGGATGGACTTCTCAAATAAGCATATTGTCATCCCCGATAACTTGAAAACTGCACTGTTTCTTAACTAAACTGGCCATTAAATACATAATTCGCATAAATATATGGGCACCTCTATGTGATAAAGCTGTGCATGCAAAATTGCTTACATGATTTATTCTAGTATGGCCTTACATTTTTGACATTCTGGGGATCTTTGTACTGATAGCAAACAGTTGCATGAGGACAGCATCTGCAGGAGCTGAAAAGCTGCCACTTGGCATAGGGAGGTTGGCATTTTATTGTAAAAGTACTAGGCAGGATTATTAGAATCACTTTGCACTAGCTTTCCTGCTCACTTAAATCATTATTATCCAAGGAGGCAGACAGAAGCAGCTGTAGGTAGGGTTACCCAGCATTTTTCACCAAAAGATTCGGCTTTTACTTGTTTATAACTCTTTCAGGTTGCAACTTGCAGGTATGTGAATCTGCTTTAGATTTCCTCTTATTTTTAAGCTTCCAGCTAAGAAAGAGAGGAACATAAAATGTCTTGGTTTTTTCATATTTGGGGAAAAAATCTTCAGTTTATCAAAACCATCTAATGCAATTGTGCTCAGGAGCAGGATCTTATTATCTGTCATGGATACAGATACAGAAAGAAGAGGTAAATTCCTATGTTTTTTTCAACATAATCTGGAGCCAAATCGACTGTTCTGAAGTATCTTCTTTCTGCTGACAGCAAGTATCTATGAAAATTACTGACAAAGCAAAATCTTCTGGGGTTGTGTACACCAGAGGCCATTAAAGTACAGAAGTAGCAGTAAACTCCACAAAGCTGAAGTTTATTGATGCTTTGGAGCTAAAGGATGAAGTTCATCTGAGGGATCATGTATGGATCTGTATGATTCTGCTTTGTGTATTTCTAGATGGCTTCTTGAGGTCCCTTTCAGCCTCAACACTTCAGTGTTTTCTTAATATGTTGGGCAACTAGAAATTGCATACTTAAAATTTACACTAAGAAACCATTAAGGCTGCAATCTTGAGCACTCAAAAGCTGCAAAATACCAGACTTCTAAATAAACCTATTGTGTCATAACTCTCCTCAATGACAAATGCAGAAAATGCTCCTGTCTCATTTAGTGCCTAGTGAAGCTGGGGAAAGTCAGGGCTGTGGAAACAGCTGGGAATCTTCGCTCATCTGCTGCAGAGTGAGTAGCAAACCAGAAATGGACTGTCAAGAAAGAATGGTCTTGATCAGACAGTGAAAAGAGCCCTAAAAACTCTAACCTATTTCTGCCTTCACTGAGGGAATCCCTACTTAGAGCTTGGCAAGTCACTTGAATCTCTTCTATTACAGGTTACTGATTTTATAGTCCTTTCTCTATGACATTTGCAACTACAGCCATCAGGAGCCATCAGGAGTTTGGCTTGGATCATATTAATGTGCTGTAAATGGTTAGCCGGCTTCTGTGTGGCTCTTGGTAATCACCTATCACTACCAAATGAGTTTGATATTAATATCTTTATATTAATTTCTCTTTTGTAAGATGGGCAAAGTAGTACTTTTTAACTTGAGAAGAGTATTTTGAAAATACATTACAAATGTCTACAAAGCACTTTGATATTACAGTAATGAGTATCATGGGAAAATCCATGAGGGAATGAAAAATTTTGTATTCACAATAGGGTTTAAGTACTGTGCAGTAGGAAAGGCATGACACTAAATTACGGAGAGGAAGCTACTGAACACAAGCCTGTTTAATGAACACTGACCATAATGGACACTGCATGAAGCAAGAGTGACTGCCATGTGAAGGTAAATGATAAGATGGGATGCGCTTATGTAACTAGCATGTAATGACAATTGTGATACATGAAAAGCATAGAGCCTTCCTCCAAGTGTTTTTGCTTTCTAACTTATTTTAACATCTTCCTTGAGGAAGACTTGAATTGTTACTAAAGGCCTTGGGCCAATATATTTGAAAACCTCTCCCAGTGGTCTGACTGAATTGCAAACTGGCTGATAAAAAGTTCTCCAAGAGAGGTACTAGGTGTACCGAGAAGCACACTCTCTGTCACTTGTTCACATAAAAGAACCAGAGCAGCAGGCTCTGACAAACCCTGAAAGGCCTGGACTCCTGGAGGACCATGATAAAACAGCATAACTGACAAGGATATGGGCTTTTACAAGGATGTCTTAGACCCTACCTGTCCCTGTTATACAGGGCTACAGACCCAGCTCAGGCTGGCAAGTGGGAATTGTCTAGCTCTTCAACATAGCTGCTCTGAAATGGTTAGCTGTGAAAAAGTTTTTTTTAAAAGTTGAGATTTAGTTTCAGAATTAGGCTTCTATAAATAGCCCACTGTAATCTCACAATTACTGTCCCAGGCTATCTGGCTACACCTTTGTACTTCTGTGCATTTGGAAGGACTAGAAGTAATTATTTTAAGTAAGAACTTTGGATCATACTTGCAGAATGTGCTGTGGGTTTAGAGGTTGATGTGCTTCAAAGTAAGCTCTGCAGCCTTGGAAAACTCAGTGTCCCTACTTAGAAATCTGTCACCAAAAGTTCATTATACTTACAACTACAATTTGAACACCAGAGGACATTGAATAAATTAAAGTTTTTATTCTAAACTCTGAGGCATTTAGAAATAATGTTCCAGAAAAGGCTCTAATCCTCCTGCCACCATCTATTACTGAAAATCCCAAAGAATATGAGAATTTGAGGAAACAAATAATAACAACATTAGTAAACATCCTCCCACACTTCACCAATGTAGCTGACATTGCACTCCAATTAACAGCACGCAATATTCACTTCTAATAAACACTGAGAATGAAAACTACCATAAAGGCATTTTTCTCTGTGCTTTTGCCTTTGGCCCTGCGTGGCCTCTTACTATGGAGCAGAAATCAGGCTGTAAATACTCTGTGGCACTTCTTTATGACATTCAAAAGTGATTCTTTTCACTTTGTACTTGGGAACTAATATCATCTATGTGTGTTTACATAGTGGAGATCTCAGCAAGAAAAAAACTAAAGTGTAAGAAAGACTATCTCAAAAATACTGGCCCTGTGCAAAGCAGCAAACATTTTATGTTGTTTTACTACACTTCTTTTGTCTCTCTCAAAGCTACCAAGTAGGAATGCAAGCTATTGGACTCAGATCTAAGACTCACTGAAGCCATCAGAAAGACTCAGTTCTGAAGCTTTTAGATGACAATGCTGAGGTCAATTATTTGAACCTGTACAGAACAATTCCTAATTTTGTGGGTTAATGAGTATCTGCATCCTTAGCATCTCAGCTTCAGGAATATAACACTCTGGGCTTTTCTCTGAAGAACAGTATATTTGACGCAGCTGCATGTTTTCCAAGTAATAATTCTAGACTGTGAGAGTGGAATCAAGACTAGAGCAATCATTTCTGTCTTTTAAAAATATTGGAACTGACACTCTTAATTTGATAGCTCTATTGGATTTATCATTAAATTAATTGATGCATCCACCTTTGTGGACCTTCAAAATATTGCAAGCCAGAACCCATTATGCTTTATTTGTATTGCTTTACTAGGAAAGCCTGGATTAAACTGATCCTTCACTTTTCTGCATTTATAGGAAAGTAGAAAAGTTATGATTTTGATAACTGAGCCACTGTCAACATTCTATTATTCAATCCCTCTAATCCATCTCCAAATGCATCTTCTACTGCAAAAAAACCCTCATTACCAAAATTATCAATCACCTTTGGCCAAAACAAATATAACTTCTTGTGGAACACAACAACAATGAAGAAAACAAGACATTTTGGGGCATTTGAAATTTAATCTTCATCTACCTACATTTGCAGTCCTTCTGGTTTTTCGCAAGTTCAAAGCCAGGTCTACATTCACAGGCAACCCCACCTTTGGGTGTCTCCCGGCAGATGTGTGCACACCCATGATCTTTATTCATACAGTTCATACCCTCTGTGGAAAAGGAAAGAAAAATAGAAAATATTAGTATTAAAATAAAATTGCAAAATAATTATGCATATCCAGTCCTCCAATAATTTTATCTGTAACTTTTATTTTTCATCTGGACCGTGTTCCACAAGACAAAAGAACAGAGCTGAAAGGAGATATATAGTCAACAAAACAGTGTAATAAAAGACAAACATGCTCTGGGGCAAATATGAGCACTACTGTGTGTCTCTGTTTCATGTAGAAACTTGGGATTTCTCTATTCTGTATCTATAGTCTAATCTTTCATGAAAATATCAGGGATTTAAAGGATACTCCAGGAAGTTGTCTGTCCCACAGAGCTGAATAAGTGATCTTACTGTTATTTTTTTCCTTGTATAAATTCAATGGCTGTTACTGTCTGGTGCATTTTTATATGCCTGCTAATGTGCCTTATATTTTCTAACACACAAAATCTGCCAAATATTATAACCAAGCATTTTTGTTTGGATCCATTTCTTTGCTATTTGTTTTACATCTCAATTCTCTGTCATCCACCATAAACACAGCACATCTCCAACAAACCTACTACCACTTTTGTCTTTGACTCTATTAAACAAAACACACCAGCTGTTCAACAAGCATCCAAGTGCCATGGGTGGATTCCTGCTAATGTTTATGCCACAGAATAGTATCAACCAGCTTTCTTTTAATCATCACAGAGACAAATTTAGCTTTCTAAACCATGTCAGTGATTTAGATACTGAATGCACCTTATACTCTTAGAGCCTTTCATTACCGTGCTAATTCAAATCCCACATATTCACAGAAATCTTGAACTCACTTCTTATGGGTCAGCATCTAACATTCCTTGTGTGAACGAAGGCTAGCTAGATTTGCATTACAAAGCCTTCCCAGACTTCCCCTTGGATATCTGACCTGTAAAGGAGAGACGAATTCTCTCAGAATACACTGGCAGAGAATTCCCATTTTAACTCAGCTTGCTACACTGCTGTAAGCAACATCAGCGTGGACTCTGCAACTCATTTGGCATTTTGCAATGTGTCTGCTCCCACCTATTCTAGCCTAATTTTTCAAAACTACTCCAGTGCAAAATGTTCAACTTAAACCTATAATGCCAGTGTATTGCAAGTAAATGTTTTTTTGTGCCTAGAATTTTGAGGAGGAAATGCTACAAAAAGTCAGTCAGAGATTGCCTCAGGGGGACAGAAGTTAACAGCTTCAAGAAGTTATTCACACTGTTCAGCTTTACCTCTGAGAGGTTTGTATTAGCAGAGTAATGAAAAACACACATCACCAGTCTGATTGGGTATTTTTGTTCACCTCTCCTACAAAACACACCAGGGTCTTAAATCTCGCCACCTATGAAAACCAATATTATAGACAACAGATGTATTTATTTCTTCTAAATTCCCCTCTGTGTTGTCCTTGAGCCTAAAAACTTGCCAAAAAATAGTAAGTTACTACAACCAAGTAAGTTATTCTTTGTAAACTGCAGCCTGGACAACAGATGCTGCCCTGAGATACAATACACACTACATGCTATAATATACCACCCTCCACATCAAAGCGAGGTATGAACGCTTTGTTGGGCTGAACAGATACAAGAAACCTGGGAATGGCCTTATTGAAGGGTTTGAGGCATTTTATAATCTCTTTCTCTCCACTTCTCCCAACAAAGGATTTCAGACACAATGTGTTTGACAAACTGCATTCCTGCGCACTGCGCTATGCTCCGAAAGGGATCTGGGAAAGATAACACATGGCTGATTGAGTCCCACTGCCCAGGCTCTGAGAAGAGAGGAATTATAGAGATGAAAGCAGATATTTAATGGCCCACAAGTGTAATCAAGCAAGTTATTTTTCAGTGTTTACTTGCAGATACCAAATCTCTGCCTTTATGGGAAGACAGATACTGTGCACTGCTGAAAGTATTGGAAGAAATTGAAGATCAAAATCATTAGAAACAAAAGTGATCCTGATAGTTGTGTGTAAGACCACAATATTTTAGTTACTGTATTAATTATTCCATCTGTTGTATTAATCAGAGTTGTCTAAAAATTATTTCAGTTGCATGTTTAGCTGGAGAACACCACAGAAATCTCCTGAGTCTGAACATCATTCCTTTAGAAAATATAATGGTGAAATGAAAGACCATTATTTTTCAGTCATAAGCAGGAGCTCATGCACAACAAAAATTCTCATTTCAGTATTTTTCAAAATCCCTAAAAATTAAATTACAAGTAGTTTCCTAAACAAAACCTTTTTAGCCTGAAAAGATTAGTGAAATAAGAATGCAGCAAATTAATATTTTACCTTGCTAAAAATGCAGTCTAACCCAAAACTGTATCTATTTGCAAATAATTTTAATCATTCAAAATTCTAATTTTTCAGCAGATACAGTATTTGTCCAGATGTCTTCTGTATTAATCTACATACACAAATAATTTATGAATCACCATTGAAAAAGTTTACTTTTTTGCTAATTGACTCGAGGCAATATAGAATCTTTAATGATATGTCACATAAGTCACACTAAAAATACAAAAGTATGCTAAGTATCTTTCTAGTACTAATCTTAGCTTCTACACAAATGCATATAAATAGGAGAGAAAAATACTCCTAAAATGATTTTGTTCAGTATTCTCGAGTAGAATGTAGTCCAAACTTTAAAACAGACTAGAAACACATGAAGCACCTCCAGTATTTTCCTATAAGAAGGTGCACTGCTGGTAGTGAAGAACTGCTCTGGCTGAGTTCACACTGCTGCCACAGGAGCAGTGAGATGTTTGAACTATCAAATTTCCTTGCTCGTGCCCCCTGAGAAAGAAAGCTTTGCAATATTTTAGTTAATGTTTAGCAGCCACCTAATGCACACATGCTTTTTCCATAAGGGATGCAGAGTGGGAATAACAGCATGGGAAAACTTTCCCTAAGGTTAAAGGGGGATTTAAGCCTCTCAGTGCTTGCCTTGCTGCTCAGCCCCAGGACAATGGGTGACCCAAGGAGGACGTGGGCAGTGTGTTCCACCCTCACAATCGTGGCCAAACTTTAGTTATTTGCAGAAAGGGGTGGAAAACTACTCATTCAAATTAAAAAAAAAACCCAAAAATAAAAAAACACCCCCCCCCCCACATTATTATGGGAAAATTGCATGGGATTCTGCTGTTCATTTATCTGTTTGAAGTTTTTCTCTTTATCACCATCAGTCCCAACTCAGCAGAGGTGCCCTGTGCTTCTCATGGTGCCCCTTCCTTGAGCTGACTAATGCAGTGCAGAAACAGTACAGAGAAGGAGAACACCCATCAGTACAGAATTATGCCCACAGCAGTTTTACCTCAGTGTGTTGCACGGCCTGGGCAAAGTATCAGACAATGGATCTTCCATCCAAGCCCTAACCAGAAGGTATTCACAAAACTATTTACAAAACTTGTTACCAGCCTCTCTCTCCATTGTGTGCACATCTGCCTCACTCTGGTTTGGAACACAAGGAGCTGCTCCCAGCTTGTCTTGATTTTTGCAGTACTCTGTGTGTCCCAGCTTCTAGAACTGATGGCACTATGGGTTAAGTGAAAAACCACAGTTCCCAAATGAAGGGAAAGATTAAGTGTTGATAAGAGAGTTGATAAGAGAGAAGTCTGTACTCACACACACACACACAAATCCTTACTTTATCAGCATGACACTAAAATGTCCAGTGTTGAAATGTTCTAGGTTTTACACATTAACTGTTCATAAAAGCAGTGTCTTAATCCCAAATGCTGCTACTCAAGGTAATCTCTAAAGCCAGCATAAGAATGGGTGCATGTCTCTTCAGCAGTGCTGGCAGACAGTCAAATAAACTTCGAAAACACAGACACATTCTCAGCAAATTCACCTTACAGACAGCAAAACAAAATCCAATGGAAAATATAAACAGGAAGGGAAATGTCAGTTAAGAAAGGAAAACACTGATCTAATTAAACTAAATCCTCTCTCAGCATTTTAGATATGACTTGAGAAACTCTATTCTATTGCCTTCCTGGATTTTTTCCTGACTCTAAGTTACAAAAGATTGTTCATGGGAGAGTAACGACTGCTGTTATGGATACCCACAATCCACACTCATTTTTGTTCCTGGCCTAGGAGAGATTTGGATGTGAGTCTACTACGTTAATCCAGTCTGCCATCTAGTTATCACAAATCTCTTAATAGTGCTGTTCTGCAAAATGTTCAGTCTGATATAATGGCCTCTCCATTGTATTATGCTCTAAAAATGTTTTCAGCTCAATGGCCCTGAAAGTGCTTGAATCAGGCTGACTGTGACAACTAAAGCATGGATCAACCTTTATGTCTCATTAACACTGTCTGTCCTCATCTTAATTAAGACTTTTAGCATTTAGCAATTATTTTACCATGTGGCTCATCATATATGCCTAGATTATCCTCTGTGTTGCCATGATTTCACTTACTTTGTATTTATATTGCTGCTGTTTTTATACATGCTGAAGCATGCTGATTCCAAACATCTGAAAAAGACCACTTCATATTGCATCAATAACTTTCAGAATATTTTCAGACTATATGCACTTGAATGTGCTAAGAAGTTAGAAGATATCTTGAACTTAACCCATACATACACACTGACATGCCCAGCAGCATTTGCGTAATTTACACACAATCTTGAAAACTACATAATCACATTATCCTTTCTTGTTGGTAAGTTATTTTTAACACAAGGTACACAGTGAGATCTTATTAAACTTCACCATATATAAGATACAAGATACATCTTCAGTAGCAGAGAGAGGAAAGAACACAAGAGGAAACAAGCTAAACAACCCAATTCTCATTTTACTTGTTCTGTAAACTATTAACATCATAGGAATTTCTTTTTTGTTCTCTTTTTAAAAATTGTGTAAGAAACTACAGTGCTACAATAAAACACACTGGTCAATGACCAGGCAGTTTAGAAAACTGACAAAGACAACTCTCACAGAGTTCTTACTCTGTGAGGAATGGAAGTC